AGGTGTGCATTTATTGGAGTCTTAGAAAAGACCAATAGTTTGGTCTTGGAGACATTGAGATGCAGTCCAAACATCTCACTATAGTGGACTACGGAATCTATAATGCTATGCAGTTCTTGTATATCGTTGGCTATTATAACCGTATCATCGGCATATCTGATATTGTTTATTGGGATTCCATTGAACTTGATTCCGCCTTGGATTCGATCCAGTGCTTCTCTAAATATAGTCTCCGAGTAGAGGTTAAACAGGAGCGGAGACAAGACGCAACCCTGCCGAACACCCCGTCTGATTTGTATATCTTCCGATGTTGACTGCTTCATCTCAACTACCGCCGTTTCATGCCAATAAAGTTCTGATATGAAACGTAGGTCATGTTCGTCAACTCCGGTTGTTCTTAGAATTTTGATCATCTTCTGATGATTAACATAGTCGAACGCCTTACGATAGTCTATGAAGCATACAAATACATTCACATTCATGTCTCTACACCTCTGTGTCATTACATTTAGGGAGAAGAGTGCTTCACGCGTTCCGAGTCCGTTTCTGAAGCTAAACTGGGTGTTGTCCATCTGATTTTCGCACTTCTTGTAGATTCGAGTGTGGATGATTCTAAGAAAGGTTTTGAGGACATGGGACATAAGACTTATCATCCGATAGTCATCACATTGTGAGGCGTTGGTTTTTTTTTGGCAGGGTTACGAATGTTGATTTAAGCCAATCTGACGGTATTTTGCTTGAGCTATATAATTTGTTAAATAATGCTGTTACCAAATCTAGATTTCTGCTTTCGTTATCTGCAATGAGTTTAAGTATTTCAACGTTTATTTTATCGTGGCCGGTAGCTTTTCCGCTTGTCTGCGCTTTTATTGCATGAACAACTTCGTCTTTGGTTATTGCTGGAGCCTTTTCATTCAGTATGTGATCTATCGGTGGTGGGGAACAGGGTCTGTCATCATTAAAAAGTGTTTCGATATATTCTTTCCATCTCACAAGCTTAGCCTTTACTCCTAGAATTATCTCGTTGTTATCGTTTCTTAGGATTGTTTCTTGGTGTTTTCTGTGTCTGTTTGTAAATTCTTTCACCTTTTTTATGAACATTGAAGGTGTCATACTTTGCTTGTAGTTGCTCTATTTCTTGACATTTTGTTGACATCCAGATCTCTTTCTCTTCCCGGCACTTTTTCCTAATGATCCCATTTAAACGTTTGTATTCTATCGGGTTTGCCTTCTGCTTCCGTCTGTCATCCATGAGGTCTAGTATTCCATCCATGAGGTCTAGTATCCGTCTGTCATCCATGAGGTCTAGTATTTCCTGTGTCATCCATTCCTGCTTTTTGTTGGTTACCAATATCTTTTGATTGTGAATCCAATATCTTTTTTCTAGATATTTGTTATTCTAGTTCTTAAATCATTCCATGTCTTTTCGACATCTTCTTCCCGTACAGGTACCCTACCATTTCTAGTTCTTTTTCGATCTTAGAACTGATCTCTTTCTTTTTCTCGAGGTTGTTCAATAGTGCGATGTCTATTTTCTTTGACGTTTTTCCTCTTTTAACTCTCAAGAATCTCTTTAGCCTAAAGTCCAGCACGACAGGGTTGTGGTCACTGCCGATGTCTGCTCCAGGGTAGGTTCTTGTTGACTTCATATACCTTTTGAAGCTTAGGCCGAGCAAAATGAAATCAATCTGATTCCTGACAATTTTTTTCTCCCTATCTGCAGGTGATCTCCAGGTGTACAGTCTTCGGGGGTGCTGTTTAAAAAAGGTGTTAGCGATTAAGAGGTTATTCTCTACACAGAATTGCACAAGTCTATCTCCCCTACCGTTCCTTTCGCCAAGACCGTATGCCCCTATGCTATCCCCCTCAACACCACGGACAATTTTGGCATTGGAGTCTCCAATTATATTATCATCGTTATCTCTCCCTTCTTTGTGAGCTGCATTACTTCATCCATTTTGTTATAGAATTCTTCGATTTCTTGATCTGGTTTGTCATTTGTTGGTTGCGATTATATTTATATATATATATATATATATATATATATATATATATATATATATATATATATATATATATATATATATATATATATATATATATATATATATATATATATATATATATATATATATATATATATATATATATATATATATATTATATTTATATATATTTATGATATATTATATCATAAACTTGAATTATATTTAAATCCCTATGAGTTGTTTGCAGTTTTAATAGAGCCACTCTATTGCCCAAAGGGACGAAGTCTATGACTGACTGTGCCACTCTATCCGAAACTAGTATGGTTGTTCCGTATCAATGTTCTGGGTCAGTGCCGCCGGAATGATAAATATATCCATTACTTGTTCTTTGCCTGCCAGAACCAGGCCATCTAACCTCACTCAGTCCCAGTATATCAATATTCATCCTGTTCATTTCAGCCTCAGTGTTTGCCAATTTTCCAGGCATAAACAAGCTACTTACGTTCCAGGTGGCAATGCGTACTATATTGTCATATATCTTGATTTTCTCTGTGTTTCCCTGATTCTTAATAGTAGGTAACGGGGGGATTCTTCGCACCCTCTCCCCACTTAAGGGGTGCCCCGGACTTAAAAATATTATAGTTTTGTAAAATGTAAATAGTACATTTAATTTCTAAAATCAATCAAGTAGGTACCTTATTTTATTTAAAACAATAAAAATTTACTACTATGAATAAATAGTTTTTATTTTTTACACAGAGTAGTTCAATACATTGTAATAGTAACTAATACGTAACTGAATTATTTAAAGTTCACATATTCGTACCAATTTTCAAGATAAAAATCCAAATTTGATCTACAAAAGTACACACATTTAAGTAGAAAATTAGACGCGAATAATGATTTAATAGACGAACGAGTCACAAAAGTGAGACTAAAATGGCCAGCTGGTAAATGTAAGTACTCATATTTTCTAATTATCAAGCTAGATTCGAAGAAAATAGAAACCTGCACGATTATTGCAATCGACAATATCGAAATATGGTATTAAATTCTAAAATACCATGCGCACTTACAGGCACGATAATTATTTTATAACTTATTTGAGATGCCTTCGAGATATTCTTTGAAATACCACTTGAAAATAATAAGTTTTATTAAGGTTTTATTACAAAATTAATGTTGCACTACGGTACAAGTTGTAGATGTTAAGAGAAATTATTCTGTTAATGAGTTATTGTTGCTTTTTAATTCTTAATGTTGCAACCATGCGCCGTCCTTTCATTTCTTGTTTGACTCATATGTGGTTCAAGCTGTTCATGTTAAGTGAAATTGATCTGTCGAATGACTGATTGTTGCTTTTTGTATTTTTGACGGATGTTGCAACAATACACCCCGGTTTTATGCCTTGTTATTACATGATCGAAAAAAATTCCATTAATAAAAGTTTTATATATTATAATTGGGCTAAGTAATATGTAACAAGCTTTTATTCAATTACGTATCTTTTTAATAGTACTCAATTAAGACGGTTCAGAGCGTAGAGTGTATAGTTCATAGCGATGAATCGTATCTACGAACAGCATTAACACATAATGGGTATGGGATGACAAACCGCATTGACGAACCGCATCATACTTAGTCAACACATAGTATATTAAGTATGGGGCTTTTAGTTTAGCTGAAATCAGTTATGTAAGAAATATTTGTTTATTTAGTACTTGGAAGAAGAAAGAAAGAGAAATAGAAAGTCACGAAAATTTTTCTGCGGAAATGCATAATTTTCAATGCTGTTTTTCAATTTTAGAATAGCTGAAACCAGTTACATGAAAACATGTTTCTGTTTTTCATTCTAGAAATTTTTCAAAACATAGACACGGAAAAAACTTCTTGCGGAAGTGTACCATTTTTATTTATCGATAAAATATTGTAAAATAAATATAGCAAGATTTGAAAAGTATTGGGTAATTGGAATTCGTAAACAGACGCGTTTTAGCTTACAGCGTGTTTTGATTGCTTTAGTTAGGTTTGTTTTGTTTTGGTTTGTTGGTTTATTTTTGTTTATTTTTGGTTTTCCCTCGGTACGGTATTGATGTCTAAAAAGTGATGTCAAATAAAAAAAGTTCACCTCTTTTTTGTAGTAGATACAGATAATTCTACAAAAACAAAAAAAAAAAAAACGCCGACGAAGTTTGTCTTTATATTTACTGTTTTATTATCTTCTGACGACGGGGGAAGATAACTCCCCAAACATTAATAATTTTTTGTTGATTAGGTAAATTTGTTTACAAAAAACCACATGCTGGTTTCCATCTGGATTCTAAGCAGTGAAATTTTACAACAAATATATTACTTTGAATTTGAGTTCATCTCTATTATAGATCAATATCAATTTTAACACATATCTACTTGCATCATTGTTAATTCATATAAAATTACTTATAGAGTAATGTTCTGAATATCGACAATCTATACCCATTAAACTTTTTCAAATGTGGGAGTTATTTTCTTATATAGAAACAATTTTACATAATTATTTAGGTTTGTAGAAAATAAATCATAATAATAAATTGCTCTGCGGTTTAGGTCAAGGTAAAGGAGACACATTTGCTTTTTCTTTCCTATACGTTGTACACGGATTTTGTAATTTGTACATGTTATATACAGATTTGAAATTTCTAAAATGGTAAATAATAAAAAAATAAGATTTGTTTCTCACCTAGTCTAATCTAATCTAACGACGTAGACCTTTAAGCCACTTTGATCACCCCACAGATCTACTCAATCTAACAATCTCAATTTTATATAAAATCTGAGCATTCCGTATCGTTCGGCCCCTCATGATGTGCTGACCAATGTACTCTAACTTCCGTTCCTCAACACTTGATAGGAGCCTTTTTCTTACCCGCCTGAGCACTTCCTTCCTTCATTAGTTACGATTTCATTTCCTAAAATATTTTAAGATTTTTTAAGAATTGTAGAGAGAAATTATAACCTTTTTTTTCTTTATAGACATGTCTACTCAGCTTCTTATCTCGACACCTTGTTGGCCTAAAAGCGCCAACGATAAGGCCAACTACAAGAACGAACTGGACATTAATGAAAACAGTTTGGGGAAAAGGATTCTGGTTAAAATCGCCGAAGAAGATTTGAGGGAAACGGAAAGTGCAAAAGTAGAATGCTTGAAGCAGTTGAAGATTTGGATTCAACAGAATACGGACATCGAAAATTGCTTAATGGGTAAGTTGATTAGTTCTCAAGTAATGATTTCTTTTAGTTTAGAATCATAGATACCAAATTATATAGATATTTGACTTATGTAGATAACTGATGGTCTTTAACTAATGTAGAATATAGATGTAGAATATATATTTATAATATCATAGAAGTTTTGTAGAAAATATTAAGAAGTATTGAAGCAATTCCAGGTTACCCCATTGTACTTTCAGTACAGAACCCTTTTTTTGACCACTTTAATTTAACCAACTAATTAGTCGCGTGGAAGTGTATTGCTTTGCTATGCTTATTACTATGCGCGCCTTGGCCATTTAATCAACTATACCTATACGTTGGCCGAATTAGCGCGAAAAGTTAACGTAAGCGGTTGAATATTCGACCAGTGAGCATTATTGACACTGAGTTTGCTGTGTATCATATAGGTAATGTGGTAATAACTATTATTGTCTAAGCTAAAAATTTAAAAATATAGAAATAAATGTATCTTTGACGTTTATTTCTTTTTATTTAGTGCACCAAATTTACGGCTCGGGAGATATTTCTTAAAATCGTTAACATATCCTTTATATTTTCGATCATTTTCATAGAATGCGAGTTTCTCGAAAAACAAAATTTGATTTACTTGATATGGACATATTTTTGAGTAGAGAGCTATCAAAGATAATCAAAATGAACTTACTCTTAAATCGACCACCATCACCCCGCTCCCTTATTTGTTAACTTTTTGAAAATATTATTAAGAGGATATGCTCCCTTTGTGTTAGTTTATATATTTTTGAAGTCAATTTGATCATACTAGAAAATAATTAGTACTGCTCTATAAAGAGTTAGAAACATAACAAATAAATAATATTATTACATTTGTTTAAAAAGTGTTTGTATTGTAAAAATCAGTTGTTAAGAATTGGTGGACACTATTTTCTCAGCAGCTCAGATCTGTAACATTTTATATATTTCTTTTTTTTTTCAGATGATAATTTTCTTTTGAGATTCTTGAGGGTAAAAAAGTTCAGCATACACATGGCCCAACAGACTCTCCTGAAATATTTGAATTTCCGGAAAAGATTTAAACCATTCTTCTATGAACTGGGTAACAACGATGCCAAAATCAATGAGCTACTAACAAATGGGTAAGAGTGTATAATAAAATTATTTAAGATAAGAATACCATTTATTATAATATAACATACTATATGCAGTCTATCATAGCTACAGGTGAATAATTTATTTATTTATTTATTTTTATAGATACATCTATGTCAGCCCTGTCAGAGATTCAAAAGGAAGAAGAGTTGTCATCTACGATTTAAGTAAGAGAATCACAAAATAAGCAATTTTTTATTTTGGTTAATTAAAAATATGTATTTTTTTTAGGTAAATTCGATCCAAAAAAGTACACAGGAACTGACATGGCACGCGCCCACGTGATGACATACGAAATACTGTTGATGAGCGAGGAAAATCAAATTTTGGGAGTGACACATGTGGCTGATGTTCGAGCTATCAATGCTTCCTTTGTTACGCTTTTTTCAGTGACAGATTTTGCAACAATTATTAGATGGGGAGAGGTAATTACATTATACAAAAAGAACAATAACATATACAATATTTAAGTTATAATTCAATTTATTATGCTAATTGACTAGTATAGAAAATAGTGGCTCTTGCTCATTTTGTTATCAAAAAAGAGAGATGGTTGGCGTAGATATATACATATAGGGAGGCGTACATACGTAAAGCATAAATGCTAGGAAAATAAAAGAAAAAAATCTGGTCTGTAAATACACTTAGATGCAAAAAAAAACACTTATTATTATCACTTAATTATTTTTAGCCGAATTTTCATGATTTTCTTGGTAAACTGTATTTGATTATATCAGTTTTAAATCGTAAATTCAGTTTCTTTATAGACTTTAGTATTGGGCTTTATTATACAAGGTTTATCGAATGGTTGTTTTTTACTCTAACATTAAAACAACCTGCAATCATTTCGTCAGCAAATTTTCCTTCGGTCAGACCTATATCTCCTGAGCCTTTTGTTGTTTGGATCATGTCAATACATGCCTTGGTTAATTTTTAAGAGCGAAACGAACTTGACACGAACAATTTGCAATTTTCTCAATTATAATAATTATTTTTGATATTATTTTTCAATATGACGAGGTGGCTTTGGTCACCATTGCCATAATATTACGCTGCATTGGATAACTATACTAAATTAAAAAAAAAACGTTAAAAAGTAACAATATAGTTCTGGTTTTAATAAACATTAATAATGATAACACAACTAAAAATATTAAAGAAAACATTTGTAATAATCAAGTATACAGAGGCAATAAAACTTGCAAAAAATACTTGGTATCGCCTCCCTTGGCTGCTATTCCGTTCATATTGTCAATTAGGCTGCATATATCATATTGTGTCATATTTTCCTATTCTTCTTTAAGGACCAAGCGAAGTTCATTTAATGAAGCTGTTGCCGCTTCACGATCTCTAACCTTCCTGCCAAGCATTTCCCAAACATGTTCTATAGGGTTCAGATCTGTCAAACGTGCTGGGCAGTTCATAGCAGTATATAGTCTACAATACTCACCAAAGCCACCTTGTCATATTGAAAAATAACATAAAAGAGAAATGATAATTGAAAAAATTACAAATTGTTGGTGGCAAGTTCGTTTTTAAATATTAAATATGATTATTTCTATAGAAAAAGACTAAGTGCTTAACTTACTCTAAAGAGTCGGTAAGATGCACACTGGTAGTAGAAAATAAAATTATTGAGCAAGTATCACAGTTTAGATACCTAGGAATAGATATGTCGCACTACCATGATCCAGAGAAAGATCTGAGAAGCCATATAAACAGAGCATCGACCATATCAGGATGTCTGAGGCAAATAGTGTGGACAAACCCCTTTATGCGAACAGACAGCAAAATTAACATTTATAAGACCTGTATCAGACCAATGGCATATAAAAATCCGAGAAAAAAAAACAAATAAAACAGAAAGCATGTTAAGGGTTGCTGAAATGAAGAGCCTAAGAACCATAATGGGTAAGACTATAAGAGACAGAATTGGGAACACAACTATCAGACAACAATGTGAAATACAGGACGTAGTGAGATGGGGGTAGGCAAAGAAAAAGACAATCGTTCGCACACGTAAAATGTATGGAAGAAAACAGGTTACCACGCATAGCTCTTGAAGACAAACCCATGGATAAGACCTCCAGCCGGGAAGGCCTCCAAAAAGATGGAAAGCCCTAATTATACGCTAACAGCTTAGCCCTAACAACACCCTAATTTAGCTCTCCTTTACGCGTTAACATTTTTTCGGCAATTTTATTATCATTTGAAATTGTCACAACACAACACGGTGCCTAGTTCGGGTTCTTTTTCACTTATATTTTACTACCCGAAACAGCGTTACATCACACAAACCTCGTGCATGCCTGAGTGTTTTATAGTTTCAATAATTGCACCAGCAAAAAACTAAAATACTTAAATATTATGATAAAGCCACGATTTCAATATTATTTTAATGCGATCATCATGAAGTGTAACCGTGACGGCATGAAATACATAGAAAATTTCTGATTACTGCCGTATACAGCGCTGCCGTCGGAATTTTTTGAAATCAGCTGAAATGCACCAAGCCTATAACTAAAATTATGTATTAAAGAAGGGGAGAAATGACATAATGAGTCACGCATTTCTCCGAATATTTTTAGATAATTAAATTTTATCCAATTATCTAGTTTATATGATTCGACCTAATCTATTTTATAATTTATTAAAACGACATGGTAATTTTCCGAAAAGACATGCAAATTGTTTAAACGTTTTCAAAACAGGGCGCATAATGTGGCTTTCTCTTTTAACTAAACATAACTGAGCTAAAAAAAACGACTTTTCTGCTTGTTTATTGTTGTTCCTTATGTAACGAGGGGCACGACAGTATTGCCAAGTCCATGCATCACGACTGATGTATCAAATAACCTTATATAGATGACGTAATATATCATGGGTGGGTTTAATATACTTATTAATAAATTTTACATGGAGAAAATCTTATTTATTAGCCGACCATACCAACAGGTATGGTAGGCTATTAAGATCGGCAAAAAAAAGTTTTTTTAATTTCTCTCAAAATGAGTTATTTGGATCATAAATGACCTAAATACAAAATATTTTTATGGTGTCTGTCTGTCTGTCTGTCTGTCCGTTTGGTTTGGTAAACCAAACGGACAGAAAAAAAAAACACGAAAAAAGTAAACACGAAAACTCAAAAACCGCTAAACCGATTTTAACCAAATTTGGCACAAAAATACTGTGGCATCCGAGAATCTGGGCCATTAGTTTTTGGTGGGGGTGGGGGGTTGGTAAGGGGGTATGGGAGGGTGTTAAAAATTTTAAAAAATCGTAACTCCAAAATTAAAGTAGCTAGCGAAACGCGGTTTTCAATTTAAGATTAGGAATAATATTTGCAACAAAACTTGTAATAACATCAAAATCAGCCAAAGTCGCAGTTTTTGAGATATTCCCCGTTTCCGTAGCTCGTTTTTGAGAAAATCCGTGTGGAGAACTCCAAACTCCCATCGGACGCGACCCCAGATGGCGGATAGGGGAAATAACGGCGGACTAAAATTGGAAAAATTCCTTTACTTTGAAACTAAAAGAACTGCCTACCAACTTTTTATTAACATATTTTAGTATGCGCGGCTATACGTGCCTCTCGGCGTCAATTTTTTTTATTATTAATTCATACTATGATTATTGTTAGTTCACAGTAGTTAGAACGCAGAAAAAAAATCGTGGGTGTTTGGGATGGCTCGAAAGAAAACAATTATGTTTTTGCGACGTTTCGCGACTTTATTGTCGCTTCTTCAGGCACCAAAACTTATATTAATCCATGTTTTGGTGCCTGAAGAAGCGACAATAAAGTCGCGAAACGTCGCAAAAACATAATTGTTTTCTTTCGAGCCTTCCCAAACACCCACGATTTTTTTTCTGTGTATTAATTTATACTTTTCAAATACTGATGTATCAAATGCATTACACTATAATTTGTAGTTTTTATATTAAATGCTATTTATCATTTTGTAAGTGGATTTTTTTGAAGCGAAACTTCTTTACGCGCGCTGGTTTACATCTTCTTCATGGGAGTAAAAATTCAAGGCCGTGACACACGAGCTAGTGGTACCATGGTAACAATCGAAGAAATGGTTGAGTTGGGTCTTTGGAGCGTCGTAATTCCCCCGTCGTAGGGCCCTATGTGAGCTAGGGGGTTGAAACTAGGAATTATTTTAGATTTTGACGACGCTTCGTGCAGTATGACACCCCATCAAAAATGGCTCAAAATTCGTCCGGTTTAAATGAAATTTAGTATGTCGATAGATTGGACCAAAGCCAACTTGACCGCGTACGACAGTAACCACCGTAATAACAAGGCCGCACAGCTTATTCGTGACGTCATCAACTGGAGGCCTAAACCACAAATTTCCTATAACAGATGCGAAAGAACACCGAATTACGCGTTCAGGTTTCTGTGACCTTCAGAAAGAGTTCATAGACAATCCGCATCAATATATAGTTTGGGTTATTATTTGTTTGGGTGAAAATAATCTGCACCAATATGTTATCGAGGCATACAAAAAGGCCCACAGACTTCGAGACATACGAAAAATCAAGTCTATTTAGCGTGTGTCGCAATTTTCACACCTTAAAAAATTAGTTTTTTATAGCTATAGCAACTGCAGCGACTATGAAAAAAGCTGTGTGATTTTCATAGAAAATAAGGGCACCTGTAATTCATTTGAGAATGTTATAAATCGCTAAAAGAGATTTCAAATCTCTTGAATTTCTATTAATATTAAATAAATTTTATTAAAAATTGAACTAAAATTGTTAGTATCATTAAAAACAATTCAAATTCAAAAATTGTATCAGTCAAATTCCCTCATTTAAGGTGAATATTAAAGTAAATATAAATACAGCTCATTCTAAGCTCTACTTATCTTTAAGAAAAATTTAAATCATTGTTGCAATTGGGCCTTAATGCCATTTCGAATGAACAATAGTATTAATAATGTACATTATAATAATAATAAATTTTATATCATAGTGTGTATTAAAACTACTAAAACACTTTTAAATTGGTATTATATTAACAACTTTTGTTTTTTAATCCAAAAAAAAGTTACCAATTTTCTCAATCAAAATATTTGTGGTCCTGAAAAGGACCTTCGTTTTCCCATGTTCGTCAAGGTAGGTAATGGGTAAACGGTAAAAAAACAGGATAATGAAATTTAAAAAATTACAAAAATTGTTCAAAAGTGCCTCCCTCTTGCATTAAACAATAACCCAAACGATCATAAAATCCCCTCCTCACATTGGATAACATATCAGGGGTGACAGTGTCAAAGGCATTAAATATTTTCTGCCTTAACTGCTCCAAGTTTTGAATTTCTTCATGGCCGTAAATTTTAGATTTTATGTACCCCCATAAAAAGAAATCATTCACCGAGAAGTCAGGTGAAATTAAACGTCAGTCTAAACAAAACTGTCA